CTCTGGCTGGTGCCAAACTAAGGAGAGTTCAACGGGTAAGGAGATGGCACTGGGACACCCCAATGGGCTCTTCTCCCCTGCAGGAAAGCTTGGTGCAGTTTGGTGCAATGGTCTGCAAATCCGGCGTGAAAAATAGTGAAACATGCTTCAGCTGACCATTAAATGTGAGATTGTAGTGCAAATAAAGCTGAGCAGGAAATGTTTGGTAGAATTTCTGCTCTTCAGAAAATATTAATTAGCAAATGGCTGCAAGTTCTCATGCCAGGATTTCATTACTTCTGCAAAGTCTACCATTGTTCTATTTGTTAGTGTTTTCAGTCATTAAAAATGATTAAAACTGCACCGTGCTTACAAAAACCAGTGTAGACTGCTGAGGCCTCACATCCATAGGTGTCCACTTAGGTGAAGGTTGCATAACCATGCATAAACATAATCATGAACAAACAGTGCTGTGGGTTTTTTCATCATTTGCCCATATATCTGCCTCACCCACATTGTTCCTGGGTTTAGTAAGGTCCACGTGGGTCTTCTCCCCAAGGCAGAACACATTCTATCTCTGCTTTTGGGCTGTGATTGTGATCGCTGTTTTGCTGTTCCTAATAATTAGGAAAACTAATCATTAAGGGTGTGGTTGTAAATGAAACTTTTCATTAATTCCAATGTTGATTTCTGTCTTAAGCCAGAAGATGGTTCAGGAGGGTCCAGCCCCAGTGGGGTCTCTAAGAGCGATGCCAATCGAACAAGTAGCGGAGGAGGTGGAGGAGGACTAATGGAAGAAATGAATAAATTACTGGCAAAAAGGTTTGTACTTAGACTTCAAGTAAGCACTAGTATGAGCTCTGCAGCAAATTGTGGAACAAGGTGCTGTCATTTTTGGTTAGCAATGGGTCTCTTTGGTGCTCCTTTGCAATTTGACAGGTCCTGCATAGATGTTAGTCGCCAGCATCGGCTGGCCTTTGATACAAAAGCGTAGGTGTTGCAGCAATGACACCTGGCAGAGTTTAGCTGCTGTAGCAAATCCTGCAGTGTGGTAACCTTCAAAGATGATGTCCTGGTCATTTCAGAAGGAATTCTGGACGTGAACTGTGGATGCAATCCTTTGGAAAGCATTAAATAAATACACAACACTATAAAAAAGTTACCAGCAATGTAAAATACCATAATTTTCTCTCTTTTCAGAATTAAAATAGTTTAATAGCTTGTAATAGTTATTTACTGGTTCAACTTCTGATCTGTTTTGTCCTGCTACATATCAAGACTGACCTTGCTGAACTGGATGACATCTGTAAGCAAAATAAGGTTTGGTACTAGATGCTGGGATAACTAGCTCTGTTGAAGCAAGCAAGCTAAATGGACATCTCATATGCTTCGATATAGAAATCCTACTAATTTCTGTGGTTCTAGTCTAAAATGTACCCAAGTATGGCTTTCAGCAGTGGGATCTGGTGTCTTCAAGTATTCAGGGCCAGATCTCCTTGGTATCTTAACAAAAAGACCTGCACTACACCGTGCTTCCTCTGCTCTGAAAATAACTGATCTGCAAATCCTTTCCCGGGGAGCTGACAGCAACAGAATTGTCTCTTAAATTTTGGGTCACAAAGCCATGGAAGTCATTGGAAATACACAAGTGTCAGTCAAGGGTGCAATCTGGGCAAATGCTGTTAAACTGATACTGAGAGGTCTTCTTTTGGCTGCAAAATCCTTTTTATGGGTGATGACATAGAGAAAAGAAAGAACCTGGCACTGTGTTTCAGGTTGCTCTTACTGAGCTGGCAGCCATGAGGTAAAAAAGATGTTTGTTAAACTGAGCACATTCAATACAGAAATCGTTGAGTGATGAGCAGGGGATCTCAGGGGTCCTTTTCTGAGCAAAAAACCACATGCTCAGAAACAGGGAATCTGTCTAATGCTGGGAAAGTAATGGAGAAAAACACTTCTGAGAGCTCAGGTGGTATAAAATAGTGCTCTCTAGATTGAGTGACCCCCCTGAGAGCAGCCCTTTACTTCAGGACTGAAGTGCAAGCAGAATAATGAACTATCTCACAAACCGCTACCATTTCTAGCCCAGTTAAGTTTGTTGCAGGACATAAATCTAACACTGGTCTCTCATCCTGGCAAGTATTTCCCTGGCTCCGGTTCAGACCGTTGACAGAAATGTCAACTAAATATTCTAGAAAGACTATAAAATTATTACTGTTCTAATGAAATTATTAATGCAGTTGAATATCTGGAAATAATTCCTACAAAGCACTGTGTCCTGCAAACACGTGCATGTGTTTTACCTCTCTGTCTTTTTGTCAAATTTACATCAAATCCTCCCATTTGTTTATCCAGTGAGGCTTTTCTTTTGCCAATGATATGAAAAAAAAGTCCTTTGACAAACTCATGGCAGTGTTTTGAAACTCAGAAGTCTTTCTAAATGCTACTTGGGATTTTTTTTTTTCCCGTGAGATTAATTTTGCCCATCTCAGAATCAAGACTAAATGAAAAATCTGTCATTCTGGTGTTTAAAAAAAAATCTGCTAAGGATAGTGTTTGCAGGTGGATGAGGATAGGGATCATCACAACCAAAATCCATGTGCAGACTAGAGGTGCAGTTCCCTTAATTGTCTGAAATGTAAAATTGAATGTCTAGACAATCAGTACCTGGCACACTTCAGTGCTGTTTAGACCCTAAATCTGTCTTGAAAATCAAGAATTTGCTTTTTGTTTTCCTTCAGCCAGCGTGGCTTAACACCAAGAAGTTTTACCATGTGTTCTTCAGGGATAAACAACTGCCACCTTTGTTTACTTTCATGTCCAATTGTTCCAGTGGGTGGATTGCAGCTCTTTGCCGCTTGCTTCTCAGGGAATTTTGCCTCGCCTTGGGAAGCAGGACAGAGTGAGGGTCTCAGGTCCTCACTCAGCTTCTGCAGGCACCATCCTCGGACTGCAGGGCTCAGGAGCTCTGCTGCCTTTGAATTGGATTTGAGACAGCAATAATCTCCCATCACTCACCACAGGCACTTGAAAATCCAGGCTGGCACACTCATATTTCCTGACTCCTGGTCTCCAGCCAGAGCTTTCTCATCCTGGGGGAGTAGGGGTCTTGGCTGAGCAGAAATGGTGCCCTGTCTTTCCCAGTAAGGATGGACCTGGGTTGAAGGGCTTTTCTGACTGTCTTCCCATCACATGGGAGCACTGCCACAGCCCTTTCTTTGGGAGGGAACGGGGATGAGGGGATGTGGGACAGGTGACAAAAGAATATGAGAGCTGCCCAAGAACAGTGCCATCACTGCAATACCCATCTCAGCCACCTGGGGGGGGGGGTTGGGTTGGTCCTCAGAAACCCCTGTGGTGTTTGGGTTGTTCCTCCTGTGTAGGACACAGAAGCCACCACTTCTTCTCTCCTAGAGAGAAGCAGTCCCTTTCTCACACACTTTCATACCCAGCTGTGCTTCCTTCCTCTGCTTTGACACATTTCCTTATGCTCTGCACCCTGCGTTCCTCCATTAAACACCGCCTCAAAATATCACCCCTCTCCCTGAGTCGTATCGCCAAGGTCTGGATTTCTCACCTCCACCCCAGTCCTACGCAACCAAACACATCCAGCCTTTGTCGCGTTCCCTAGGATGACATAAGTAAATAGTAACTCCCACCAAAGCCTGAATCAGCCTTCCCACGTGGAGGATGTGTTTCTAGAGGGTTGACTGTGTGTCCTATCTTGTGTTCCTTTGCAAAGGAGGAAAGCAGCGTCGCAGTCAGACAAGCCAGCTGACAAAAAGGAAGAGGAAAGCCAAAATGTAAGTGAAAGACTCCTCGCTGTTGTGCTTTTGCAAATATGTTGATGTGCTGCCTTGTAAGCCAAAGTCCTGCACTCATTCACTGTGTGTGGCAGGCAATGACAAGCAGTACTGTTCCAGGAATAGATTTGCACATTCAGTCAAAAGCTAAATGTAACCGTTTCCATCTTTCTGGGGAACAGCACTCTGTAAACAAGAATTGTCACCTTATTCATAGGTGAGGTGTTGTCCAGACCAGGCTAATAGGTGATTTCTCACGGTTTGATCCAAGTGTAGTAGGGTACAGTAGATTCTTGCCTCTTAAGAAGATGCCTTGAACTTTCTGGCAAGTCATCTTGAGATCAAGTCCATGTTTCATATTTTAAATGGATCATCAACCACGTGGTGTAACTTTGGATTGCTATCTTCCCTGCAAAGCAAGAATCAGCTCACTTCGGACCCCAGAGGGCACAGAAAACATTTCTGAGGTGGAGGGGGGAACAGTATGTTAACCAGTAGACTATTCAAAAGTTAAAATATGTGTTCGTGATACTTTTACACTAAAATGAGAGAATTTGAACATCTTTAGGGAACTTTGATTAATTTCTGTTTTAACTGTTCTGTCTGGATGGTGTCCACAAAAGCACTTGAACAAGTCTTCTGATTTGAGTTAGTCTTTACACTGAACTTGATGCAGCAATTTTGAGTTCAACACGCACATTAAAAAACTTTTTTTTTAACCTGTTGAACTGATGATAAAGCATGGGAGATCATTCCAGCTTCAGGAGAGGCCAGGATTTATGCTGTCCCTTCCCATGTGGTGCTTTTCTGGGTTGCTGCTCATACAGCATTCCTGTTGCTAACCTGTACCGTTGTGAAGGCTCTCTCCCATGGCTGCAAGTTCATAAAGCATCATGTGTGCCTCGTATCACCTATACAGAGATATTCCCTCCAAAGTCAAGGTAACAGCTGCTCAGCAGGAACACCATTCAGAAAATGCAGGTCCCACCCCAGTCTGAGAGGTTTGTAGCAAGAGCAGGAAAAAGCACTTGCACTGGTTAAGGAGGAAAGCAGCTATATTTTTTGCATGTTCCTCAAGGGATGCTTCAAGCATGGAATTTGCCTATTGAACCCATGATGCTGCTATGCAACAATTACTCTTAATCTTGCCCCAAAATGAGTTTTGAAGCATACACTCAGAGATGTAAGACACCAGTTAGCTTCTAAGGAGCTAACTGTCTTTCTGCCCCTTGTTCTCTCTCCTTGAAGCTCTGCATTAGTTTATATCCCCAATCAAACTTTTCGATAATACCAAACTGTTTAGAAAGGTGTTTTAGAGATTCTCTGTTAATGAGTATCTCGAGTACACTTTGTGGTGGGGGTATCTTCTGTCAAACTCGGTGCAATTCCATTTTATAATGCACAATTAATGCTTTGCCTGAGTGTGTTTTGAGGGCTACTAAAGAATATTGACATATCAAATATATGGGTTAATGTTTTATGATCTGTCACACATAAATCCCAGAAAAAAGAGTCCAGACCTGTGATGTAGTGTTTAATCTTCTACTTAGGAGGCATATTGATTGATTTAGTTACATTCTGTTAGCACCTGGACTATGCTCACTGATACCGGTGGCTGTCCTGGGCTAAAGGGCTGGGATCTGACCTACTGTTCCTTCAGGTGACTCAGTTTCTACATCACAGAGAGTTTCTAAATTTCGGAAACAGATGGTTTGTATTTAAACAGCAGCAGCCACCACTTTAGAGTGGTAATTCAGCCTGGCTTGGTATACAGGGATGAGAGTGAGTCAGTGGAATCATGAAAACACGTCTATGTTAGCAAAAAACGAAAAGGATGTATTTTGCCAAGCTAAAGGGAGAGAGAGGTTAAAGTTTAAATGGACTTGAGCCATACCTTGGCAGCAGTGCCTGTTGGACATGCTTGGAGGAATCTTGCTTTTGTACCACCTGTGCTGCTACTGGTCTCCCAAGTAGGAGTCTGCGCTTCACCTCCAGAATTAAGTAATGTCCTGTTTTTTCTCTTTGTAGGATGATGCTAGCACCTCTCCTTCACCCAGTACACGAGGTCCCACCCAGCAGCAGCAAAATTCATCAGGTATTAAATCAAACTACTAGTGGTTTAGTTGTCTCCTTACTCTAGTCTTTGTCACCTCTGGGTTCATTGTCCTACTTCTGAGTGCAGCAGCAGTAACTAACAGGAAAATTCCCTAATACCTATTGTTTTAAAAACTGTACTCAGCAAGAAATGGTGAGTATTTGATTTGCTTCACAGCCAAGAAAATTACAATACAGCCAATTTAGTTAAAGGGGTCCATACACGTAGCTGAGGATGTGCATCTTCAAGATTGTGCATCTGAATCTTCTAAGAGAAAAAAGCTATATTATTTTACTTTTAGCAGTGTAGCTGTCCTGGTTTACACAGTTGGGGTTTGGGTCTCAAACCGTTACCCTTCCTTAACCTAGTAGCTTGCTGCAGTAAGCTTGATCCTGAGAGTTACTAGGTGAAATTAAGGAGCCCCCAAAATATGTTTTTCCTATGGTGAGTTGAAATAGCTGTAGCTAAGTAGATAAGCTGCAAGCCAGTCAGATTCATCCTTACATCAGCCTTGGCTTTCATACATGCTGAAAGAAATCTCTCCCAGGGGAATGAGTATTTAACCATTCCAGCTTCCTTTTGGAACAAAGCCATGATTTGCGTGTTTTGCAAGGGAAAGGGAGGAAGCAGCAGAAAGGTGCATGTAAATGAGGAAACGAGATCTAGAGATTTCCTGGGAGTGCCCATAATTCTTTTAAAGAGCTTTTAAGGACCTCACAGAGGAACAAACCCTTGTGTATAAAGTTGTGTGTTATTCAAGGCTCTGAAACAGTTCACTTTATTTTAGAGTATTTGCATAGGAGAAAATTGGGATGATAGTGTTTTCAGTAACAAGGTTTATGTAGTGCAGCTTTCAGGAATGTTCTGCAAGTTAGAAATGTAGGCAACATTAAATAAAATCTGTGGAGATTTGCATAATGGGGGTCTCACTGCCTTCTTTTAGATACACCCACATTTTCTGCCAGCTATGCAGGCAAAAACCTAAGACTTTTTAACTTAAAATATAAGTAAGTATTGTACTAAAATAAGCCTTGCAGCAATTAGCCTGTATTTCTTAATAGGAGTGATTTGTGCTTTTTCTCCTACTGTTCCAGTTCCCTGTCTTTTTAGTATTGTTTAACTATCCAGTCCCTAATTAAAGGGATCACTAAACAGATTTTTGCCGATGCTTTCTCTCTAATGTAGGCAGCCACACTCATTCAGCACTCCTGCTTTGATGGATCTTTCTAAGTCACTCGTCCTCACTGAATGAAAGCAGCTGTATAAGACAATCAACTTCAGGGGTTTTTTATTGTTAGAGAAAAAATAATGAACAGTAACTTTTCATTTTTGTTTTCCAGACTCTGGGAAGAAGCCATGGGAAAGGAGCAATTCTGTTGAAAAGCCTGTATCTTCATTACTTTCTAGGTGAGCTGCACGGGGTGTCCCTCTGGCTGACTAGCAGTTGGGATGGTCACGCTGTCCCCGTGGCACATGCACAACTCATGTCTCGTTTCATTCCATTGCTGTAGAAATCCATCAGTGGTGAAGAGCTGTGAAGCTAAGAGCCCCACACAATCCCACGTGTCTTCTAGGTACTGGCTAACAGCCTGGCTTCTTAACTGTCTTGGCTTGTCCTTCCGCTAATCACATCATTCAGCACTAACGTTTGTCTTCTGTCACGTCTTTTACTCATTCTCTTACAATCTGCTTTGTCTGTCACTGCACAAAGTGTGAAGGTAGAGTGTGTCCTGTCAAAGGCTTGTTCCATGGAAACAGCCCCCTGCTCAGGTAGGCACAAGCATCGCAGACGTTAATCACACTTAAGCAACCACTTCAAGCATCCGTGCTCACGAATCAGAGGCACGGGCTTGGTGCCATGCTGTGCCATGTGGAAGGCAGGGTTTGGAGCATCTTTTTACAGCAGGTTCAGGATGACCCTGCCATAGAAGTTTTCATTGTCCAACCTCTGCAGAAATTCAAAAGCAAAGGTAGAAATGATGTGAGGAGCCTGCAGCCAGGAGAAGCGAAGTTATTCCTCCATCCATGCAACTGCAGTGGGTGCATAAGAAAGGAGAGCAAAGCTCAGTGCATTAAGTTAGTAACATTGAGCTGTAAAAAGGCCCAGCCACACACAGGGCATTCAGACATATGTGGTATCAAAGCCGGCAGGTGTCAAAAGCCAAGAAGCCTCAAGTAGGACTCCAGAAGTCCTGTCGGTCAGAACAGCCAAGCTGCAGTATCACCACCCATGTTCTTACCCACAGAGAGTGAGATCAAGTTTGATGTTGGACAGCTAAAGGGAGACTTCCTTCCAGTGCTGGTCCAGGATCACCCAGTGTTACTGCAGTACTGGACACTGAGATGGATGGATAAGCTGAATAAGGAGGTAGAGCACAGACTTACATATGTTTAGAATTTAATGCAAAGAGATGTCCCTTATTTTACATTGTTGGGTATATGACAGTGCTGATTATCTTCAGAGAGAAAGTTGCCAATGGCAACTACCTGCACGTACTTGCCCCGGTGTTAAAGATGCTGGAACATCCCCTGCCCAGAGGGATGCACCAGTGTTACTAGGGCAAAAAACAGTCTCTCCAGCTCTCCTAAAGCTAATGGGACGTGCTGCTTCTAGGCAATATGTGAGAGTTTCCAATAGATATAGAAAGACCATTCCTTCTCCTTGCAAATGGAAATTAAGCACAGGCTATTTAAAGCAGCCGTCAGGTTTTCGTCACTTATCTTCTATAAAGCCATTCCATCCTGGGAGGAGGAGTTCTGTAGGAAAGACTTGTTTCCTGGTCTAACCCTGCAGTAGTGCTCAGTCTTTGCTTGCTCAAGTGACTTCTGTGGGGGAAGCGGGGCAGGTTTCAAAAGCTCTGAACAGTGACCTGTTTCTGTTCCTGTTCAGTTTGATGGCATCTGTATCTGTCTTAACTCCCAGCTTAGGTGTGAGACGGTAGGAGACATGTTAAGATTTTCCCAAGAAAGGGTTGCAATACCAAGCGTACCCTCAGGAGTCTCAGACTCTCCGTCAGCCCCTAGTTTGGGCCCAAAGATGATGGCAAAGTTATTTGAAGCCTTTTCTATGAATTATATAGCATGGTTAATTTTTGAAATGTTTTAGAGTTACTGATTAAAAGAGAAAGTTCAGCAGCTTCTGTGTCCTTAATTTATTTTATCAGCTGACACCAGAGTTCAGCTCACTGACTAATACCATCCTGGAAGACTGATAACACCCAAGGATACTAGCCATTAAGGGCAGATTGGTTTTGTTTCTGGGTCAAGAAAAAGTGCCTGTGCTACACAGTGCTAACAACAAGCTCCACTTGCTTCAGTGAGGCCTTCCAAGGAAAAGATTTCTGGGTTATTATTTGCCCTATAATATTTTTCTAACCTGTATTCTGCTATTACTTTAGCACCTGATTAATGTCTAGGTAGCCAGGACAGAGTTGCTGTACAGAAAACAGACTGAGAGAGAAAACCAGACATCTAGCTTCCACATTGCAAATGCTGTAAGAAAATACATTGTTAAACAGGCTTTAGCTCCTGAAGACATCTCACCATTTTCTAGTCTGAAATCGAGACTCCCAACACAAAAAAAAAAAAAGGTAAATTAAGTTTTGGTGCAGTCTTTGCGCTCCCTCCAGTGCGTTTGCAATAGGAGAAAGCAGCATCTTTGAGGGTCAGGCTGTGAAACGGCAGCTGTGCTGCTCTCCAGCAGCTGCTGAACTCTCTTGAGTGGCACAAGAGGGAGCCTCCGGTTCAGCGTTCGAGCATGGGTGCTCCTGCTCTGGGGTGGATTTCATCCACACCATCAGGTGGGTGTAGCTTAGCGTGCCTTGCAAGGAACTGACTGGCTTTTTTGTCCTCTTCTTCCATTTCTCAAGGATGAAGCCAGTGAGCAGCAGCAATGATGTGGCTATGGATGCCTTAGATTTTGATCGAATGAAACAGGTGAGTGAAAAGGTCTTTTGCACTTAAGAGATTTGACGAGCTACCCATTTTCCCCCATGCATGCGCTGTACAAGCAAAACAGCTGTTCAGTCTTCTGATTTCCTCTATAACTAGGTGCTTAGAGAAAGGCTAGCTGGTGAGCAGCAAGAGAGCACAATCTCACTGCTATTTGATCAAGATGCCTGTACAGAAACGTGCAAATAAATATGCCAGCATCTTCTGCGTCCTTGGCCTGGGAGTGCAGACATAGCTGTTAGTAGTGCTAGGCTCTGATCATCAGCGGAGGCGGGGGACAAGCACAACCGTGTTAAACTTGCGTTTTCTTCCACCGGTTAGAAGGAAATTCTGAGCAGCTGACTTGTGTTTTGTCTCATCAGGAAATATTGGAGGAAGTTGTAAGAGAGTTACACAAAGTGAAAGAGGAGATAATTGATGGTAAGAAAGAGAAAAATTATTATTTTTCTCATCTTTATGACTAATTTCCCATAGATAAGACGGTAGGAACTGCAGAGAGTTCCCTCGTGTTTTCAGACTTCTCTGAGCAGCTCTGATTTACATACACATTTGAAGAACAAGCATCTACCTTACCTGAGCTCTGATCGTGACATTGTGTTTACATCCTTTATTTTTATGCTGTTGATGAGCACTTTCACTCCCAACTTGTGAGAAATTCACTGACTGGTGTTTCTCACAGGTGGGAGGGTGAGAAAGGGCCTGCCCGTAGCCCATGGCACATCAATTTATCAAAGTCAGGGAGCGTGAAATCGCTTGTAACTAGCCAGCCACACAGGTCCCAGATGAGGAGGGGACAAAGGTACCAAACTGAAAATCCTTCCCAAGCATCTTCTGTAGGCTTCCTGTGTTTGAAGAGCTATTTCAGACCTTCACTTGATTACAGCTTTCCAAATAGCCACATATTTCATTGAAAAGTACAACGGCTGTACTAAATGTATCAGTACTTTTTTCTAAATTGCTCTGCAATATATGACTAAATGTATTTTTCAGGGCCATTATTGAAATGCACAGCAAAATACCTATTTGAAGCCCCCATTAGGGCATATGAAGATGCATGTCCACACCCTGCATTGCCCATCTTAGATTCACACAGAAGGGGAAAAAGAAGAGACTGTAAAACAGCTAAAATTCATTCCCTGTCCCCTTGCCCTAGACCTATGTGCTCACAAAACCTTGGAGCAATTTGCAGTTGAGGAGACCCTCGCCCATACGCTACCGTCCCAGCAGCTTGGCCCTCAGAGCCTCCCCAGTTCATTCCAGTGCAAAACAAGACATTGGCATAAACCACAGATGCATCTTCTTAAATCAGTACTGCAGTTTGCAAGCAAACAGCTGACTGCTTACCCTTACTCATCCTTTTACCCGCCACTCATCCTTTTACCAGCGTGTACTTTCTGCAACCTCTGTACTTAGCATTTTCCATCACACTGGGTATAACATTATGCATTAACTTTTTGGTTTGGTTTTCTAGCCATACGGCAGGAGTTGAGTAGAATCAGTACAACATAATGATTGCAAAGCATTTGGATGGTACCAAGAATGCTAGGAAGACTGGATCATTTCTAAGTGTACCAAGGTCATGCAAGATGGTGAGAGAGGACACCGGCACTGTCTTTGTTCTTAAACCCTTTTTATTAGCAGACTCAGCACACTTTGAAGCTTGCTGCTGCCTTGGATTCGCTTCATTTTAAAAGTCTTAATCTAAAGAATATTAAATTTTAAATTTCTGGATTTTTTAGATTTCATCTGACACTGCACATTGGATTCGTCAGCCTTTTTTGTATTTTGTATTTGCTTATTTAAATGTATTACCTTTCTTTTTAGTAGTAGATAAGAACACATGTGAACCATTTGCTTTTGATAGATGACTTCAAAGTAATTTTATTAGTAGTCTGCAATGTAAATGAAGATCCTTTGCCAACAGAAATGTATTGTGGCATCACCAGAAGAAACAGAGACATGTTAGTTGTCAGCCAACAAGTTCTTTGTCTCAGAGTTATCACAATATTAAAAAATGGTACGTCAGTGCATCACAGTATCTGTGTTCATATTGGTAATAAACTGTTTATTGTCCACATGGCCCTGCCTTTCTTTGTTTTATTCGTCCCTTGAGCTCCCACACTTCTATGTCACTTCTGTTGACGACAAGAGGAAGGTGACCGAGACTCATCGGGGGCTGGCAGCTCTGCCCAGCCAGTGCCGCAGAGCGCGAGGAGAGAGCCTGAGCATCTTACAGCTGGTGCAATGGCAACAGCCCTGCCTGCTTTTTCAGGGAGACGTGGCTCTCACCTGCCCAACCCTCCTCGCACCGCTGGCTGAGCACCACCTCCTGCAGTCAGGCTGTGGCAACCTCAGCAACTTTTTGCCAAAGTCAGTGAAGGACAGTGGCTTATGGCTCTTCTCAGGCCACCGCTAACTGTCCCACTGCATCTCCTGCCATCACTGAAAAAAACCCAGGTCCCATCACCTGCACTCGTAAGGGCTTCCAGTAAATAAAATGGAGGTATTTATGCAGAGCAAGGTTACTGAAGGCATTAGGAGGATGCAAGCTGAAATCGCTGGCGCAGCACTGCTGAACTAGAGGCTTGAGGGGACTCATTTGTTAATATCTCGTGTCATTTGTTAATGTTGTGCAGGTCTTGAGCTTTATTTCACAGAAAGTGAAGTCAAAGATGTGAGTGCAGGACACCAACACTTAACAGCACATACCCAGTCATATCTTTCAGGTCATACAATTTTTTTTCTTTAGAGCCATTCTTTCCACCAGCGCAATCTTGGGAATTTCTGCTTGACTTTTAGTTTGGCGCAAGCTTTACATGCCAGTAGTCTTGATACCATCTTCTTGATAACTTTGTGCAAAAGGCAAGAGATCGGAGTTCAGCTATTGAAATCTGTCAGATATTTTCCAAGCCCGCTGCTTTGCTTCAGGCCTACCTGAAGATTTTGTTTTAAAAGCCAGGCCCCAGGAACAGTTTCGGGAGCAGAGCCTGGTGCAGCAGCCCAGGAGAGCCTGTTGCCTCCTTGCTGGTGTCCCCCAGCGCCCATGGAGCACGGCAGCAGGCAGGAGGGACTGGCACGTCCTGCCAGCCACAGGGGACCGGGGCAGGAGGTGGGGTGGGGCGTGCTTGGCCGTTAGCTGTAAAATGTTACTTGCTTTGGCTCAGAGAGCATGGGGTTGTCCTTCCGCACCCTTCAAAGCAAACCAGTCTGCCTTTTAGAAGAGTCTTTTTTTTACAAGGTGGTTATACTGTAGATTAAATACGGGAGAAATGGGAAAAATCTGAGTTTAATGCAATGGTGAGCTCCAGACAGAGCCTGATGTCTGTTGGCTGTTTAATGCCAGCAGAAGGCGAGAGCCAGGTTAAAAAAGGGGTAAGATTTCCACGTGGGAGCTAAAGCAGGCAGACATTGATGTACACCACAACCCCAGGACCACGAGAAGAAGCCTTTCCAGTGTGAAGAACACAGACAAGCATCAGTAACAGCAAAGATTATACTGCTCTGTTGCATAAATCTCATGCAGTAGCTCAAGCATTTTTAATTATAAACCTATTTAATGGCATACCTGACAACGGCAAGTACTTTTCAAAACTGCTGCCTCTCAGATGATCACAACCATTCTGAGAAACTCTCCCATAATCTTAATTAAGCTTCAGGAAGTTGGGGCCTGGCATAGTTCACGTTTTCCTTTGGAATGTGGCATTATGCCTAAGGTCAGTAATAACTGCGTTGTAATTCGGGCTGAGTGTACAGTCTGGATATGGTGTGCCCTGCTGTTAACATCAGCCACCTGCTGTAAACGAGTTTTTCTTACTTTCTCCTACCTTTGCAGGCTTCGTATAATTAAGACATAATAAGCTGAAGTTTGCACAGGGCCACTTAATAGCTGCGGGAGCAAGGTGCGCGGGGGTGGAAGGGGGAGCTCGGCTGGTAGGGGCAGGGGAGCAGTCCTGGCATCACTAGCGTTTCGCTGGTTCCCCGCGTACAGCTCCAGCAACAGGGATGCGTAGGGCAGCTTATTTTTTGCAGTAGTGGCACTGCCGGAGGATTTCCCCATCCCAGACACTAAGTCAGTTTGCTTGT